CTCCTAGAAGCGATGCCCTTTGTTACTAGTAGCGTCCTTGCTCCTAGCCACTTGTTTCCAGGAGAATCTTCATCGGTCGCCCGTCACTGAAGATGGTCGTCTTGCGTCGTTGCTTCAAGCCCTGTCAGTGGAACCTCCACGGTGGCTTGACAATACAAGCACATGTTGGCTGAATCAATCTCAACTCTATCGCTTTCACCAAACGAAGCGCTCAATTGAATGAAGAAGTGGTGGTTTGTTGTTTGTTCTGGCGCTTTCTATATACAAATGATTCACTCATTCATAGCTGTCGTTCACGTGGAAGGCGTCTTTCTTTGCACCTGCAAAGACCTGTTTTTCTCCAAGAGATAAATCCAACACCCAGATTACCAGAATCAGCGGTGGAAACTGCTTCCACCTTGCTCGATCTCAGGCTCCGCAACCTCCACAGCTTCCGCTTCGAGGCGGATCCTCGATTGTTGCAGCATGCGCAGACTCGGGCACTGCGCACGGGGCGCGGCCTAGGCCGTGAGTGAGAAGGCGAAGGAAGCACCGAAGGACCTGTCAGGTTCTCCCACCTCAAAAGAGGCCTGAAACTCATTTGAAGCGAGGTTTTGCTTCGTACATGGCAGGGGCAATGCCCGTTGAACTCGCTTTGCCAGTGCATTTCAAGCCAGGGTCTTTGCCAATGTTTGCACTTTGTGCCAGCAGCTTCTCCAACTAGCTCATTGGCGATATCAAACCCTGGTGTTTTCTAAATTTTTTTTGCTGTTGGTGTACAGCCTTCTTGCAGCTGGGGCCATCACGAAAAGGATGCAGCTGCTTGTCATGAGCGTGGGGGCAGTAGAGCGGGAAGTAGTAGGCGGTTCCTTTCGTAGGTTTTTCCTTTGGTTTTGTTGTTGGTCGGCATCCATACTGATTTGGTTTCTTGGTTCCAAGTTTGTTGCCAGTATTGTCAACAGGCACTGTTCTGGTAGCTTTGAAGGCAGCAGTCACACTACTTTCAACCATTTATTCAGCTTGGAGCGCGAAGCATCCATGATGTGGTATAGATTATATCAACGACCGGTCTCTATAATGGCTTGGTTCTGTTTGGGAGGACATATAGTGCCCGAACTATGTTCTGAACTATGTTTAGTGCTGTGTTGGAGACTTTAGCTGCCTGGACTCACATCAAGAAGTTGGGAAAACTTGACGTTCTGGTTTGCGCTTTTGTCTGGTAAGTGCCTGGCAAGCAGCAACTAGCGTGTATGCTGCTGCTGTTGGTGAAATAGATGGAAAGTTGAACGATTAAACTTTACGTAATCTAAGTAATCTAGTAATTATATAATTATAATTTATTTATAATAGTATATAATATAATATATATATATAATAGTAATATCGTAATGTCTGACTGATGACTGTGACAAAATGTTCTTGCACAGTGCCTCGAGCAAATTGCAGCGGCCCACCAGGGTTCCGGCCCAAACCAAGCAAGCCAAAGATAGTTTATTAACTGTCGAGTCATGGCCATGGCACGGGTGAAGCGATTGAGAACCAAGCAACGTGCCCAGGCTGAATGTAGCATCAAGGGTTACAGTGTTCCAGGAGATCTTGCAGATTGCAGTGTGGGACAGGGAGACAAACATGACATGTGACATGACTCGACTGATAAGTTAGGTTTCTTAGACAGAGCAATAGAAAAATTAAACACGTGAAGTTAACACATGTTAACACCCAAGAAGTTAACACACGCAAGAACTGCATTGCAACCCAGGTGAAGTTGATGAGGAGGAGGACGACTTGGCGCCGCTCAGTGTTTTCCCATGTGTGTGGGCTTGGCGGCTACTTGGACTTCACACCATGTCAGTTCAAGGAGTCAGGATTCTGGGACATGGGATCAGCATACTATGGTGGTCAGCTAAAGGCTACAGGCCACCAATCAGAGATTGAGATTGAAAGAACATTTGCCATTTGCCATTTGTTTCAGTCTGTGGTCTGCATACTCTGGTTCAGGTTCCGTGAGGTATCTCAACCTGTGGGGACCAGGGGTGCCTCATCATACTATGGCCAAGCACTATTTCTCAACTTTCTGATAGTTACCCTAATGACAAATGAAAATCACAGCAGTTACTGTCTACTACTGTTTATTGTTATAATATTATATAAGTTATAGTTAGATTCATAGATCCTGTTGTCACTTTTTATCAATCGATGAATTGGTTCCAGATGGGGCCCCTAGCCTCAAACAAGCAGCAGCAGTAGCAACATGCATCAGCAAACCAGCAACAACACCTTTTCTTCAACCCACAATGCGTGAAAACAACAGGGAAAAACAATACCACCCAAACACCTGAGCCTGAACCTGCATGTCAGGTATCTACATCTGGCGGGCTTTGACCTTCATGACTTGGCTTTGACACCACCACAGCTGCCTGGTCTGTTGTGGCAAGTCAGGGACAGTCAGGGTTTAAGTTGCTCTACTTTATGAGAAAAGCAAGGACATTTCAAAGACTTACAGACCACCTCATTTGCAGACTGCAAACATCAGATCAAATCCTGCTGCTATCCTGCTCTGTAACTGTGTTGCTGTATCACTATCCATTGGGGAGGTCAGCAACATTGACAAAAACAATGTTTTTTCAACACACAGTAGACTGTAGACTGCAGAGTAGGCCACAGACTGTAGACTGTAGACTGCAGATTTTGTAAGTTAATTTGAGCTGTTAAGCCACATCACAAGAATACAGAATACCCAACACCTTCCGCATTCCCCCAGCTTAAGATACCTAAGGCTTAAAATTTCTGGAGGTTGCGAGGGAGCTGGAACATCTGCTTACGTGGGGATGCTCGACTTGATATGAGAAGTTGTAATAACTCCATGGTTGTGACATAGGCTCATAGGCTATCATAGGCATAGGTGAAGTGGCATTCAGAACGGTATTCAGTATGGGTATTGGCAGTGGCATTGGAGAGAAAACGTTTGGGAACTCAACCAATTTGCCCTTTAAGGAACCATGTGGCAAGGCTCATGGGCTTGGACACTCAGGCGGATTTCACCTCCGAGTGTGATCCTGAATCTCGAGCATTTTGCCTTCGCCATCAGGATTGCCCCTTGGCGTTTCCTGACAAGTTAGATTATTTTGGATCCATGATCCATGTTGCGATGTTCAAATATCATATCTCATATCATATCTCCGAGAAGTTAAATACCAGTGATCTCAATAATATCATTGATATTCATATTGTTACATACCGCCTGATACGGAAACAAATACAGTATCCAGGTATCCGGGATTGACACCGAGATGAGATACCGACGCCGATACCTGATCACTGATTATCACTGATTGATAGATTTAGATATTGTACTGTATAGTTTATTAGATAACTGATCACTGATAACTTAATTTCATAATATATCTACAGTCACCCCCCAGGCCCCCACTCATATTGAACATACTAAGGGCAGCACTACTTTGCTGACATTGATCACGACGAAACTGGTGGCTTTTGCCATGTTTGCTGCTGCAACCATGCTGTCCCAAAGAGGCGCTCACCTGTTGAGAATGCCACCTGGCAGAAAACATCAGCGCAGGCTGCAGGCACAAGTAGCAGTAGTATATTGTCAATACTGTCAATACTGCAGTGGACAGCATGGACAGCACTCTGACTATGGACCATGGGCCATCAGCCTATATAAGATATTATATAGCGCCTATAGCCTAGCCTATAGGGCTATGGAGTGCTGTAAAAAAGGACATGTGCGCCACATCCTCATCCGGTGTTTTAAATGTGCGCCAGCCAACCTTTGGAAGCCAGGGAAGCAAACTTGATTCCTGGAGTTGGTTGCTGTTAGAATTGCCAAAGTCCAGTTTGTCAGTTTGTCACCAAAGCAGTTCCCAACAAACACAGCTCAGTTTCCGTTACTTTCCTCACTAACTTGGGAGTGAAGGTGAGGGTTCAATCATGCGGCTGCTGTCAACATTTCCTGTGAGGACTTGATGATCATTGGCATACCATGTCCATTGTTCTCGAATCTCAACGTGCACGTCAGAAGATCGAGCACTGAGTTCAATCCCTTCTTACAGATTCCCAGCTGCAACTCTATTCCGGATATTGTGTTGCGTTGCTGTCACAGATGGTGAATTTTGCAGGATGATGATTCACACATTTATTTAC